GCAAGATTACTCCACTTTGGCAGGAAAAACGAAATGCAAAGATACAGAATGGGGGACAATGCCTGGCTCGAGAGCAGGACGTGTGAAAATGATCTTGGAGTCCTCGTGGACAACAAGTTAAACATGAGCCAACAATGTGATGTGGCGGCAAAAAAAGCCAATGGGATTTTGGCCTGCATCAATAGGAGCATAGTGTCTAAGATCTAAGGAAGTCATGCTACCCCTCTATTCGCTTTGGTTAGACCACACCTGGAATATTGTGTCCAATTCTGGGCACCACAATTCAAGAGAGATATTGACAAGCTGGAATGTGTCCAGAGGAGGGCGACTAAAATGATCAAGGGTCTGGAGAACAAGCCCTACGAGGAGCGGCTTAAGGAACTGGGCATGTTTAGCCTGAAGAAGAGAAGGCTGAGAGGAGATATGATAGCCATGTATAAATATGTGAGAGGAAGCCACAGGGAGGAGGGAGCAAGCTTGTTTTCTGCTTCCCTGTAGACTAGGACGCGGAACAATGGCTTCAAACTACAAAGAAAGGAGATTCCATCTGAACATGAGGAAGAACTTCCTGACTGTGAGAGCCGTTCAGCAGTGGAAATCTCTCTGCCTCAGAGTGTGGTGGAGGCTCCTTCTTTGGAAGCTTTTAAACAGAGGCTGGATGCCATCTGTCAGGGGTGATTTGAATGCAATTTTCCTGCTTCTTGGCAGGGGGTTGGACTGGATGGCCCATGTGATCTCTTTCAACTCTATTATTCTATGATTCCGTATTCACTCACACTCACATACCATACCAGAAATAATAATAATAATAATTATTATTATTATTATTATTATGTATTGTCGAAGGCTTTCATGGCCGGAATCACTAGGTTGCTGTAAGTTTTTTCGGGCTATATGGCCATGTTCTAGAGCAGTGGTTCTCAACCTTTCTAATGCCATGACCCCTTAATACAGTTCCTCATGTGGTAGTGACCCCCGGCCATAAAATTACTTCCTTTGCTACTTCATAACTGTAATTTTGCTATTGTTATGAATTGTAATGTAAATATCTGATATCCAGGGTGTATTTTCATTCACTGGATCAATCTGGGCATAAATACCTGATACACCCAAATCTGAATACTGGTGGGGTTGGGGGGAGTCATTTGTCATTTGGGAGTTGTAGTTTCTGGGATTTATAGTTCAGCCACAATTAAAGAGCATCCTGAACTCCACCAATGATGGAATTGAACCAAATTTGGCACACATAACTCCCATGAACAAGAGAAAATACTGACAGGGTTTGGTGGGCATTGACCTTGAGTTTTGGAGTTGTAGTTTACCTACATCCAGAGAGCACTGATGTATCTGGACCAAACTTGGCATGAATACTCAATATGCCTAAATGTGGACACTGGTGCGGTTTGGGGAGGATAGACCTTGACATTTGGGAGTTGTAGTGGCTGGGATTTATAGTTCACCTACAATCAAAGAGCATTCTGAACTCCACCAGATAGAATTGGGCCAAACGTCCCACACGGAACCCCCATGACCAACAGAAAATATTGTGTTTTCTAATTGTCTTTGGTGACCCCTCTGACACCCCCTCGCGACCCCCCCAGGGGTCCTGACCCCCAGGTTGAGAAACACTGTTCTAGAGGCATTTTCTCCTGACGCTTCGCCTGCATCTATGGCAAGCATCCTCAGAGGTAGTGAGGTCTGTTGGAAGTAGGAAAATGGGTTTATATATTTGTGGAATGGAATGGAGAACACAGAAATGCTGGACCACTCTCACAACCACCATGTCAGACTACACAGAGAAGCCACTGAAATACACAAGCATGTGGACAATTTCAACAGAAAGGAAGAGACCATGAAAATGAACAAAATCTGGCTTCCAGTATTAAAAAAAACTCTAAAATTACAACAGCAAAACAACAGAGAGGAAACAAAGAATCACCTCTCAACAAAAGAGGAAACATCTAATCACCTCTCAACAAAAGATTGCCCCAGGCACTGCCAGGCCATCAAATGCTAATCAAGGTGATCAGTTGAAACATTCACACCTAGCTCCAACGGACAGGAGTCCTTTGTCCCACCCTGGTCATTCCACAGATATATAAACCCACTTTCCTAGTTCCATCAGACCTCACTACCTCTGAGGATGCTTGCCATAGATGCAGGCGAAACGTCAGGAGAGAATCTGGCCATCTGTCAGGGGTGATTTGAATGCAATATTCCTGCTTCTTGGCAGGAGGTTGGACTGGATGGCCCATGAGGTCTCTTCCAACTCTTTGATTTTATGATTCTATGCCTATAGAACATGGCCATATAGCCCGAAAAAACTTACAGCAACCTAATAATAATAATAATAATAATAATAATAATGTCAACGACAGATCCCAAGTGTAGACTCTGCAAGGAAGCAGATGAAACGATAGATCATACTCTTAGCTGCTGCAAGAAGATCGCACAGACAGACTACAAACAGAGGCACAACACCGTTGCTCAGACGATTCATTGGAACTTGTGCCACAAAGACCATCTGCCTGCGAGAAAAAACTGGTGGGATCACAAGCCTGAAAAGGTCACAGAAAATGAACACATCAAACTACTCTGGGACTTCCAAATTCAGATTGACAGAGTTTTGGAGCACAATACTCCTGACCTCACGGTCGTATGGATCGTCAATGCTGCAATCCCAGGTGACAGCAAGATTGGAGAGAAACAACTGGAAAAGCTGACATGATACGAGGATTTCAAGATCGAACTGCAAAGATTCTGGCACAAACCAGTCAAGGGGGTCCCAGGTGTGATCGGCACACTGGGTGCAGTGCCTCAAGACCTTGGCCTGCACTTAAACACAATCGGCGCTGAAAAGATTACCACCTGTCAGCTGCAGAAGGCCACCTTACTGGGATCTGCATGCATTATTCACCGATACATCACACAGTCCTAGACATTTGGGAAGCGTCCGATGTGTGATCCAATACAACAGCCAGGAGAATGACCTTGTTTGCTATGGATTCATCTTGTGATTCAAATAATAATAATAATAATAATAATAATAATAATAATAATAATAATACAGCCAGGAGAATGACCTTGTTTGCTGTTGATTCATCTTGTTGTGTTTCAAAATAATAATAATAATAATAATAATAATAATAATAATAATAATAATAATAATACAGCCAGGAGAGTGACCTTGTTTGCTATGGATTCATCTTGTGATTCAAATAATAATAATAATAATAATAATAATAATAATAATAATAATAATAATAATACAGCCAGGAGAGTGACCTTGTTTGCTATGGATTCATCTTGTGATTCAAATAATAATAATAATAATAATAATAATAATAATAATAATAATAATAATAATAACAGCCAGGAGAGTGACCTTGTTTGCTGTTGATTCATCTTGTTGTGTTTCAAATAATAATAATAATAATACAGCCAGGAGAGTGACCTTGTTTGCTGTTGATTCATCTTGTTGTGTTTCAAAATAATAATAATAATAATAATAATAATAATAATAATAATAATAATAATAATACAGCCAGGAGAGTGACCTTGTTTGCTATGGATTCATCTTGTGATTCAAAATAATAATAATAATAATAATAATAATAATAATAATAATAATAATAATACAGCCAGGAGAGTTTGCTGTTGATTCATCTTGTGATTCAAATAATAATAATAATAATAATAATAATAATAATAATAATAATAATAATACAGCCAGGAGAATGACCTTGTTTGCTGTTGATTCATCTTGTTGTGTTTCAAAATAATAATAATAATAATAATAATAATAATAATAATAATACAGCCAGGAGAGTGACCTTGTTTGCTATGGATTCATCTTGTGATTCAAATAAATAATAATAATAATAATAATAATAATAATAATAATAATACAGCCAGGAGAGTGACCTTGTTTGCTATGGATTCATCTTGTGATTCAAATAATAATAATAATAATAATAATAATAATAATAATAATAATACAGCCAGGAGAGTGACCTTGTTTGCTGTTGATTCATCTTGTGATTCAAATAATAATAATAATAATAATAATAATAATAATAATAATACAGCCAGGAGAGTGACCTTGTTTGCTATGGATTCATCTTGTGATTCAAATAATAATAATAATAATAATAATAATAATAATAATAATAATACAGCCAGGAGAATGACCTTGTTTGCTGTTGATTCATCTTGTGATTCAAAATAATAATAATAATAATAATAATAATAATAATAATAATACAGCCAGGAGAGTGACCTTGTTTGCTATTGATTCATCTTATAATAATAATAATAATAATAATAATAATAATAATAATAATAATAATAATAATAATACAGCCAGGAGAGTGACCTTGTTTGCTATGGATTCATCTTGTGATTCAAATAATAATAATAATAATAATAATAATAATAATAATAATAATAATACAGCCAGGAGAGTGACCTTGTTTGCTGTTGATTCATCTTGTGATTCAAATAATAATAATAATAATAATAATAATAATAATAATAATAATAATACAGCCAGGAGAATGACCTTGTTTGCTGTTGATTCATCTTGTGATTCAAATAATAATAATAATAATAATAATAATAATAATAATAATAATAATACAGCCAGGAGAGTGACCTTGTTTGCTGTTGATTCATCTTGTTGTGTTTCAAATAATAATAATAATAATAATAATAATAATAATACAGCCAGGAGAGTGACCTTGTTTGCTGTTGATTCATCTTGTTGTGTTTCAAATAATAATAATAATAATAATAATAATAATAATAATAATAATACAGCCAGGAGAATGACCTTGTTTGCTGTTGATTCATCTTGTGATTCAAATAATAATAATAATAATAATAATACAGCCAGGAGAGTGACCTTGTTTGCTGTTGATTCATCTTGTGATTCAAATAATAATAATAATAATAATAATAATAATAATAATAATAATAATAATACAGCCAGGAGAGTGACCTTGTTTGCTGTTGATTCATCTTGTTGTGTTTCAAATAATAATAATAATAATAATAATAATAATAATAATAATAATAATAATACAGCCAGGAGAGTGACCTTGTTTGCTTGTTGTGTTTCTAATAATAATAATAATAATAATAATAATAATAATAATAATAATAATAATAATACAGTCAGGAGAGTGATCTTGTTTGCTTGTTGTGTTTCTAATAATAATAATAATAATAATAATAATAGGAATTACTAGGTCTATGTTCATCTGCCACTTCTTTGGGTTGCTGTGAGTTTTTTGGGTGGTATGAACATGTTCCATCATCATCATCATCATCATTTGAAGCACAACAAGATGGGTACACAGCAAACAAGATCACTCTGTTGGCTGTTGTATTGGATCACACGTCAGACACTTCCCAAGTGTCTAGGACTGTGTGATGTATCGGTGAATAATGCATGCAGATCCCAGCAGGATGGTGTTTTGCAGCTGGCAGATGGTGATTTTTTCAGCGCCAATTGTTTTTAAGTGCAGGCCAAGATCTTTAGGCACTGCACCCAGTGTGCTGATCACCACTGGGACCACCTTTACTGGCTCATGCCAGAGTCTTTGTAGTTCGATCTTTAAATCCTCGTATCATGTCAGCTAGTATTATTATTATTATTATTATTATTATTATTATTATTATTATTATTAGAGTTTCCTACAGAGGTACGATGGGGATGATGATTGCATCCTGCTTTTATCGCTTGGTTGAGATACCAGGCAGCTCACAGCATTTAAAGACAACACCACAACATACAAATACTGAAATAGAATAAACATGCAGGCCAACTAAAAGCACAAATAATCCAATGTCCTATTCTCTTGGTGTCTGACACAATTCTACGGTCCTAGAGATACTATTTTAATCAATTAAGGTGGACATTTCCCTCCATAGATCACTCATGGGGTGCCAGAAGGAGATTCTGTGCAATTATTATTATTATTATTATTATTATTATTATTATTATTATTATTATTATGGGACTGGCTAGTACAGCTGTCTAAACCGCCTGCTATGGAAGATCCTGCCGACTGGACGGTTGGCTGTTCAAGCCCAGGTCAGGGTGAGCTCCCACCGTCAGTCCAACTTCTGTTCACCTAGCAATTCAAAAACAATAATGTAGGTAGATAAATAGGTACTGCTCTGGCATGGAGGTAAAAGGTGCCCTGAAAAGCACGCCAGCAAAAATCCGACCAGGAAAGGAGTCCTTGGCATGGAAAGCGAAACAACAGCATCTTCCCATGACCGAATCGAGCACAGCTGGATGCTGGAGATGAAAGGAGGGAAGCCTTGCCTCTGTTTATGTATTGTCTATGTCTGTATATTGTATAATGGCATCAAATGTTTGCCATATATGTACCTGTAATCTGCTCTGAGTCCCCTCGGGGAGATAGAGTGGAATATAAATAAAGTATATTATTATTATTATTATTATTATTATTATTATTATTATTATTATTACTATTAATATCCCGGGACTCCATGCAACCAACCTGCTGCTGCTCCAGCTGCCCTTTGCCTTGCCGGATGATGTTTCCTCTCTCCAGGAGCTCTTTCTGAGTCTTCTCAAACTCTTCCTTTCCCTGGTTTAGAAAGGACAGAAGTAGTTAACAGGATGCCTTTAGAGATAAACCCACAATGATAGCGTTTGTTATCACTCTTTTTTTAATATTCTCTGGCCGAGTGCTACCTTTATGTTTTATATTTGGACTATGAAAACAGTCAGACAGTAAGTGCTGCTGTAATTAAACAGTTTGACACAAGCTGGATGTTTGTTTTGGTTCACCTCTGCCTCCGTTCCGGCAGAGCCCTGGCATCGTAACAACCTATGAGTAGATTCTGCCCTTCCTTCTAGATAGTAAGCCCTGCTGTAATTAAACAGTTTGACACAAGCTGGATGTTTGTTTTGGTTCACCTCTGCCTGCGTACCGGCAGAGCCCTGGCATCGTAACAACCTATGAGTAGATTCTGCCCTTCCTTCTAGATAGTAAGCCCTGCTGTAATTAAACAGTTTGACACAAGCTGGATGTTTGTTTTGGTTCACCTCTGCCTCCGTTCCGGCAGAGCCCTGGCATCGTAACAACCTATGAGTAGATTCTGCCCTTCCTTCTAGATAGTAAGCCCTGCTGTAATTAAACAGTTTGACACAAGCTGGATGTTTGTTTTGGTTCACCTCTGCCTCCGTTCTGGCAGAGCCCTGGCATCGTAACAACCTATGAGTAGATTCTGCCCTTCCTTCTAGATAGTAAGCCCTGCTGTAATTAAACAGTTTGACACAAGCTGGATGTTTGTTTTGGTTCACCTCTGCCTCCGTTCCGGCAGAGCCCTGGCATCGTAACAACCTATGAGTAGATTCTGCCCTTCCTTCTAGATAGTAAGCCCTGCTGTAATTAAACAGTTTGACACAAGCTGGATGTTTGTTTTGGTTCACCTCTGCCTGCGTACCGGCAGAGCCCTGGCATCGTAACAACCTATGAGTAGATTCTACCCTTCCTTATCCACAGTATGGTGCTGTGCCCCCCGTTCCATTCCTACCTGAAGATGCACGTAGTCATAGTCCTCCATCCAGCTGCTCTCGTTGTTTTCGTATGGTCCGTCAGGCGAGTCCTGGGCCAGGAACTTAGGTGGTGACGGCAGCGGCCGGGACTGGATGGTGCTGGCCTTGTCGACCGAATGCTGTCCTAATCCTGCATCACCCAGGGAGGCCGGAGGTGTCTTGGTCCGTCGAAAGAGCAGGGAAGCATTGCCGTGGAGGAAGGAGGCCAGCTGCTTGGTGTCGTCCGGCACGCCCCGCGAGAACATCACCAAATGCTCCAGATCATCCAGAGTCCCGGGCTTTGCGGGTGCCACCAATGCGGATGGAGCCCAGTTGCAGCCGTCGAGAGCTTGGCTGTGTCTCAGCAATGCCTGGTAGACCTCCTCCATCTTCTGGACCTGCTTGCTGAGCTTGGTGTAGAGTGAGCGGTCGGAGGCCTGGGCGGCGTTGCTGACCGCCAACCGGGCAAACTCCAGCAGTTCCCGGAGGGCTCCGCGGACGCTCTCGGCTGCTCCCCGGATCTGGGCCGCCTGGGCTTCCATCTGCTCGAGGCCACGCCAGTTGCCGCTGACGAAGGACATGAGGTAGGAGACGGAGGCGGCGACGGCGCTCTGGAGCCGGGCCAGCGTCTCCATAGCCGCCTCCTGATCCAAGTGGAGCTCCTTTTCTGTGGCCTCCTTGACCGGCACAGTGTCCAAAGAGGAGCTGGAGAGGTTGCTGCGGTTGCTGCCCGTGCTGGAGGCCGAGAGGCGCTTCCCCTCACCTGCCTTGCCCTCCCGGTCCACCTGAGGCGGCACGTCGTAGATATAGTCGCCGTCGCCGTCCCTGCTTCCCACCGGCAGCTCCCGCGGCACGTCGTAGACTTCCTGGCAAGAAGGTGCCTTCCGCAACCCCGGAGGGACGTCGTAGATCTCCTGCGACTCGGAAACGGCTACAACTGCTGTGGCTGGCGGCACGTCGTAGACGTCTTCGGGCAAGTAAGGCTCTGCCGGTGGAGGCGGCGGCAACCCCGGCTGGGCGAGGATGAGCGGGTGCCGCGAGGGGTCGAAGGGCTTGGCTTTGCAGAAGACGGGAGGTACGTCGTACGTTTCGTCCCGCGTTGGAGCATCCGGGACGTCCTTAGTCACCGAGGGGGGAATGTCATACACCTGCAGGGAGACATCAAAGTCTGAGCCAGGAGTGGGCTACACATATCTCCCACTGTATCCCACATCAGGGGTGTAATATAAGCAAACAACCTAGGATGTCGAAGACGTGTACTGAAGAACAACAAAACCACCCTATTAAACAGCAAGACAAAACATCCCTTTTGCATTCGTCTGCTGACTGAATTCCTGTATGCCAGTGGTTCTCAACCTGGGGTCCCCAGATGTTTTTGGCCTACAACTCCCAGAAATCCCAGCCAGTTTACCAGCTGTTAGGATTTCTGGGAACTGTAGGCCAAAAACATCTGGGGACCCCAGGTTGAGAACCACTGCTGTATGCCAAGCTTCTAGAACTGGGGCTGACGGTATAGAGAGAGTGAGTGGCTACTAGGTCCTTCCCCAACTAAGGCCCCATCTACAAACAATGTAATGCAGTGCCAGAATGCAGGTTAACTGCATTGAACTGGATGATATGAGTCTACACAGCCATGTAATGCAATCCAATGAAGTTAAACTGCATTATGAAACTCCATTATTGTATAGGAAGTCCCCAAGTTGTGGACAAGATAGGTTCTGTAGGTTTCTTCTTAAGTTGAATTTGTATGTAAGTTTAAACAGGTACATTTTAGGGTGGAACTCCATATATATATATATGAGAATGTGTGTATGAATGAGTGTATATATATATGTATACGTATGTATGTGTGTATGTATGTCTCTCTGTGTGTATATATATGTATGTATTTGTGTGTATATAATGTTTGTATATATATATGTGTGTGTATGTATGTATATATGTATATGTGTGTATATATATATATATGTATTTGTGTTTATATAGGTATGTGTATGTATATATGTGTATGCATGTATTTGTGTGTATGTGAGTATATATATATGTGTATGTATATATATTTGTGTATATATAGGTATATGTATGTATGTGTATGCATGTGTGTGTATATATATATGTATGTAAGTATGCAGGTTTGTGTGTTTGTGTATATGTATGTATGCATGCATTTGTGTGTTGATGTATGTGTATATATGTATGTATGTGTGTATGTATGTGTGTACATATATGTATGTATTTTTGTGTATATAGGTATGTGTATGTATATTTGTCTTTGCATGTATTTGTGTGTATGTGAGTGTATATATATGTAGGTATATGTATTTGTGTATATATAGGTATATGTATGTATGTGTGTGTATGTATATATGTATGTAAGTATGCAGGTATGTGTATATGTATGTATGTATGTATGTATATACATGTATTTGTGTGTTGATGTATGTGTATATATGTATGTATTTGTGTATGTATGTATATGTAGCTGCATGTATATATGTGTGTATGTATGTGTGTTTGTATATATATATATGTATTGGTGTGTATATGTTTGTGTATATATGTGTGTGTATGTATATATATGTATATTTATGTATGTATTTGTGTGTATATAGGTATGTGTATGTATATATGTGTATGCATGTATTTGTGTGTATGTGAGTGTATATGTATGCATTTGTGTATATATAAGTATATGTATGTATGTACATGTATGCACGTGTGTGTATGTGTATATATGTATGTAAATATGCAGGCATGTGTGTATGTATGTATATATGCATGTATTTATGTGTTGATGTATGTGTATATATTTATGTGTATGTTAGTGTGTATGTGTGTATAGATTTGGATAGCATAGGGAAGGGTTAACACCCTTGTGGTGTTTCCTTTGCTGTTTGTGCCCCTGTTCAGGAGATTTCACCTCACTTCCTGTCCCTGTAATAATTGGGTTTTGAAAAAATATGGCTTGTTGTGGAAACAAGCTTTGGAGATAAAGCTTTAGTGAGACACCTTTTCCCCATGATAATAACTCTTCCAGGAGTGGATTTTCCCTTCTCTCACTTCCTGTTGTCTCAGCCCCATTCTTAACTAGAAGTCGTTTGTAAGTGGGGTGTCTGGAACTCAGGGGCTGATTGTATATGGTGGTGTAGACAGGGTCTTACTCGTTGACCCATTTTTGAGTCATTCATTGAGTCAACACAGACGCCGAGATTGTGTGATTATCCCAATTGGCTTTGCAAACTTTCCCCTTGGATCAGGAGGACATTTTTCATTCCTTGGAAGCCTCCGTTCCTCCTCTGGACAAGGTCTGATTACATCTCTCTACCTTAAAAATGGCAAAACACTCCCACCCTCCAAAGCCCTACCTGTAGGCTTTTCTCTACGCTGGGGGGCACGTCGTAAATCTCCTGGGAGTGACCCAGATTCCTGCTGTTGGGTCCCTTGGCCATCATGGAGGGCGTGTCATACACCTGGCAAAAAAAGGAAGAGGAGGAATCAGTCATGATTCGTTGGTTGGGGTCCAGTTCATACGCAGAGGCGGCCCTAGGTAATTTTCAACAGTAAGCAAACAGTATTTTGCTTCCCCAACCAGTCATTGATATATATATATTTTCTGTTCGTCGTAGGAGTTCTGTGTGCCATATTTGGTTCAATTCCATCACCGGTGGAGTTCAGAATGCTCTTTGATTGTAGGTGAACTATACATCCCAGTAACTACACTTGCCGCACTTGCTCCCTTGCCTGGCCCGCTTTGGGTCCGGAGGCGTGCCTGAAGACCCCGGAGTGTGCACCAAAAGTCACCTCTTCTCCTGACTTTCTCCTCAACCATTGGGACCAAGAGAGAGAGAGAGAGAGAGGTGGAGATGCCCACCTTTCCTGAAGGTAGGCGCAAAAACAAAGGAGGGAGCGGAGGTGGGAGATACCTCCAGCCGGAGGGTCTCTCTCTCTCTCTCTCTCTCTCTCTCGGTCCCAATGGCTGAAGAGAAAGTCAGGAGAAGAGGCGACTTTAGTTGCGCACGCTGGGGTCTTCAGACACACCTCCAGACCCGAAGAGGGCCAGGTGCGGCGGCTCCGCCCCTTGGCCCACCCGCGGATTGGGGAGAGGAGAGGAGGCAGGTGGAGCACCGGAGGATCGGGAAAGGGAGCCGGTCATGAGGAAGGGATCGAATGCGGAGAACGATTGAGCACCGGCTCTGCTCGCGCACCCGGTGGCCGGGTGGAGCAGGAACGAGAGGGGCTAGGCGAGGCTCAACGGCCCGGCCCCTTTGGGAAGAGGATCGCCCGGCAGCGAGGCAAGAAAGCCGAGGCTCCCCCCGGACTGCTAGGGCTGTTGTGAGCTGAGGGGGCGCTCCTCAAGTGGCGGTCGAGGGGCATTTACAGAGGCGCCTCTGCGCCCCTGGCAAAAAAAGTGTTCTGCGACCGCTTACTTCGCGTAATGGATGAGCCGCCCCTGTTCATACATCATAACCAACTGAGAGATCCCAGTCCATACATCCCTTTGCCCCCTTGTTCCCTCCCTCAAGGCCATTGGCACTGACCTCCTGGCTGGACTGGTTGACCAAGAGACCCCGCGTCGGAGGGACGTCGTAGATCTCTCGGAGGTGGCGTGGAACGTCGTACTCGTCTGCTTCCGATTTGGGAGAATCGTAGACATAGACTTGTCCCACCCGCGTGGGGACCACCACCTGCACCCAAAGAAGAAAGGAACACGTGAGAAAAACATCGCTGGGCCATACTTGTAAAAACCAGTTGGTCAACCCTACAACTGTAGTCTACACACACACAACCAATGCCTGACAGTCTGGCGAACTGACACTAACTTTACTTCTCACCTTGTTATGTTTTCCATTCGCCTGCATTACTATACCTATGAGATTTTAAAACTCAGACATCATTATCCACAAGCCTTGAATCCAAGTTCAAACCCAAGATGAAACAGGACACCCTGGACATTCCACAGATTACCGTATATACTCGAGTATAAGCCGACCCGAGTATAAGCCGAGGCACCTAATATTACCACAAAAAACCTGAGAAAACGGATTGACTCGAATATAAGCCGAGGGTTGGAAATGCAGCAGCTACTAGTAAATCTCTATCTATCTATCTATCTATCTATCTATCTATCTATCTATCTATCTATATAATAAAAGTGAATATTTGTTTGTATGCATGCGGAGGGTGGAAGGGCGGAAGTGTATGTGGCAACTTTCTGATTGGCAGCCACTTTCACAGGCCACTGTGACCAACACGGGTGATGCACCTGGACCAAACTTGGCACACATAACCGCCATTAACCCCTTTACGACTTGGTGCGGTTTGGGTGAGGTGGACCACGTATTATGGGATTTGTAGTACTTTCAAACGGTTTGGTTCCAAGGGACCACTGTGGCTCCCAACAAAGACCGAGAAAGACCAAACTTGGCACACTGAACCCCCATGACCCAGGAGGAGGGCAGACCATGGATGATGGGACTTGAAGTACCTCCACTCGCTTTCCGAGACCGCTGCGACCATCATACAATGACTGAACAAGACCAAACTTGGCAAACAGAGCCCCCGCGACCCACTCTCCATCCTGGAGTAGTTTGGAGGAGGATGGACCACAGATGATGGGACTCTCAGTACCTTCACTAACTTCCTGAGACCACTGTAAGCCATATAAATAACTGATAAAGACCAACCTTGACACACAATTCCTTTCTCAAATAACTCGGGCAGCGCTAGTGGCAAAATAAAAACAGATACCAATTAAATTACACTAATTGAGGAATCAGTAGGTTATATATTTTTGAATATTTACAAAAGTGGTAATGTCAGGAGAGAATGCTGCTGGAACATGGCTGCTCAGCCTGAAAAACTCAGAGCAACCCAGAGATTCCAGCCATGAAAGCCTTCAACAATATGGGAGTTGTAGTCCAGCATCTGGAAGAGGGCCACATGAAGTGACAATGGGGGCCGAGTCCGGACCGCGGGCCGTGAGTGTGGCGAACATGCCCGAAATGTGGCCCTTCTTCCAGCAGAGGGCAGTGCTGTCCGCGATTGATGGAAAGGCCACTGGGGCACCTTGCAGGAGGCGCATCTCTGGGGAAGGCAGAGGGAATGGTGACATCATGCGCTATTTCTGGATCTGAGCACAAGGAGAGGGGCTTGGAAACAAACGGAGGCGCACAAAGGGAGCGCATTCCCTCACGGAGGAAAGAGGAGGAGGAAGAATTCACCCCGGCTGTGGCGAATTTGCAGAGTGAAGCCATAGGCATGCATCTCGTCACATCTTGGGAAAGCTGAGGCTGCAAAGGGATGCTCCATGCGCCCAGAACACAACTATTGCAAAGCATCTCGAAAACGAAGGAACATATTATAGTGGGTTAAAAGTTTCAGACACTAGACTGGTTTCAAGATTATATTATATATTATGCTATTATAATATATTATAATAATTATATTATTTTATAATAATTATATTATTTTATAATAATTATATTATTTTATAATATAATGTATTATTATAACTTTATATTGTTATAATATATTATAATTATTTTATTATTGTATTATTATAGATTATTATTTTATTTATTATAGTGTTATAATGTATTGTTATACTATTATTAGGAAATAATATTATTATTATAATAAAATTATAATATTATTATATTACGTTATTATTATTTTATAATAGCTTTGTTGGAAGATAAAGGAAAATCCTATAACTATGGAATATATATTCCATATCTAGGTGGAAAAGAGACCATTATTATTATTATTATTATTATTGCAAACTACACCTCCTATTACATTGAACTGTGGCAATCAAACTACACCTCCCATTGCAAACTACACCTCCCATTGCATCAAACTGTGGCAATCAAACTACACTTTCCATTGCATTGAATGGTGGCAATCACACTACACCTCACATCACAAGCCGCACCTCTCGTTGCATTGAGCCATGGCAAGCAAACTACACCTTCTATTGCAAACTACACCTCCCACTGCATCAAACTGTGGCAAACTACACCTCTCATTGCAAACTATACTTCCCATTGCATTGAACTCTGGCAATAAAACTATAAATCAAACTACACCTCTCATTGCAAACTACACCCCCATTGCAATCAAACTACACCTCCCATTGCAAACTACACCTCCCATTACGTCGAACCATAGCAATCAAACCACACCTCCCATTGCAAACTATACTTCCCATTGCATTGAACTGTGGCAATCAAACTAAACCTCCCATTACAAACTACACCTCCAATTGCAAACTACACCTCCCATTACATTGAACCTTAGCAATCAAACTACACCTCCCATTGCATTGAACTGTGGCAATCAAACTACACCTCCCATTGCAAACTACACCTCCCATTACATTGAACCTTAGCAATCAAACTACACCTCCCATTGCATCGAACCGTAGCAATCAAACAACACCTCCCATTGCAAACTACACCTCCCATTGCATTGAACTGTAGCAATCAAACTACACCTCCCATTGCAAACTATACTTCCCATTGCATCAAACTGTAGCAATCAAACTACAGCCCCCATTGCAAACTATACTTCCCACTGCATTGAACGGTGGCAATCAAACTACACCTCCCATTACAAAATACACCTCTCCTTACACCAAACCTTAGCAATCAAACTACACCTCCAATTGCAAACTACACCTCCTGTTGCATCGAACTGTGGCAACCAAACTACACCTCCCATTGCAAACTATACTTCCCATTACATCGAACCATAGCAATCAAACTACACCTCCCATTGCAAATTACACCTCCCATTACATCGAACTGTAGCAATCAAACTACACCTCCCATTGCAAACTATATCTCCCATTACATCGAACTGTAGCAATCAAATTACACCTCCCATTGCAAACTATACTTCCCATTGCATTGAACCGTAGCAATCAAACTACACCTCCCATTGCAAACTTCACATCCTATTGCATCAAACTGTAGCAATGAAACTACACCTCCCATTGCAAACTATACTTCCCATTGCACTGAACTGTAGCAATCAAACTATACCTCCCATTGCAAACTACACCTCCCATTGTATTGAACTGTAGCAATCAAACTACACATCTCATTGCAAGCTACATCTCCCACTGCATTGAACTGTGGCAATCAAACTACACCTCTCATTGCAAACTACACCTCCCATTGCATTGAACCGTAGCAATCAAACTACACCTCCCATTGCATTGAACTGTGGCAATCAAACTACACCTCCTATTGCAAACTATACTTCCCATTGCATTGAACTGTGGCAATCAAACTACACCTCCCATTGCAAACTATACTTCCCATTGCATTGAACCGTAGCAATCAAACTACATGTCCCCTCGCAAACTATACTTCCCATTGCATTGAAATGTGGCAATCAAACTACACCTCCCATTGCATCGAACCGTGCCAATCAAACTACATATCTCATTGCAAACTACATCTCCCAATGCATCGAACCATGGCAATCAAAGTGGTGCCAAACTGCATCTATTATAGGGCGTAAATGCGCTCCGAATGATATGCCAAGGACCCCACGGATAACCTCTGCCCTACACTCAAAGGCAGGAAAAGCAAATAAAGGAAAGGCAGAACGAGGAAGAAAAGAGAGAGAAAGATAAGGGGAAAGCTGGCCATAATCCAATCTCTCCAAACCAACTCTGTTTTCTGCCAGCCTTCAAGGTCAGAAAGCAAAAGGGGAAAAAGCCACAGATGCCGCTGTTGGGAGACTGCGCTTCTGTCTGCACGGGAATTGTATCCGCAAAACACCGCTATCAGAGCAATGGGCACATCTATCTACACTGTAGAACTAATACAGCTCGACAATGCTTGAACTGCCATATCTCAATGCTATGGAATCCTGGGACTTGCAGTTTGCACTCTTTGGCAGAGAAGGCTGCAGACCTTGCTAAACTATATCTCCCAGGGCTCCATAGCATTTAATTATAGCAATTCAATTGGGGTCAAGATGCATCCTAAATGGACAGGAAAGCAAAGATGTTCTGTTCTCTATTAAAGAAGCATTGAGCAAACTCCAGCTTTTAGCCTGACCTATTATTATTATTATTATTATTATTATTATTATTATTATTATTATTTTACTGACACAAATGCACAGTATGTCACAGCAAATGAGATCTATAGGCTGGATTTTGCACCACAAAATCACAAGTCGGACACTTCCCAAGCGTCTAGGACTGTGTGATGTATAGACAACAACAACAACAACACCAATAACATATTATTATTATTATTATTATTATTATTATTATTATTATTATTATTATTATTATGTTGTTGTTGTTGTTGTTGTTGTTGTTGTTGTTGTTGTTGTTGTTGTTGTTTCTCTCCAAATGAAGCTCAGGTCCCCTCTACACTGCCATATAATCCATATTATCAAAGCAGACAATCCAGATTATCTGCTTTGAACTGGATTATATGGTAGTGTAAACTCATATAATCCAGTTCAAAGTAGATAATCTGGATTATCTGCCTTGATAATCTGGATTATCTGCCTTGATAATCTGGATTATATGGCAGTGTAGATCCATCCTATGGCACTGAACCCACTCCAGCATTTAACCTAAATGCTACATCATCGTCGTCGTCGTCGTCATCATCATCATCATCATGTTGTTGTCGTTGTCATTGTCGTTGTTGTT